TCTAATAACTAGAATTGGATTTTTCTGCACTTTGTCTGCTCTGATGTCTAACAATGACCTTCACCTCCAGGCCTTCAAGAAATGTTAGTGGAGCAAATGTTGAATAAGTTACCATGTGGTCATTGCCTTTCTAGGGCTTCCTGGTGTCTCTGCAGAGCTCCTTGGTCTGGCCACATCGTGAGGCTGCAGAATCTCTTTTCACAGCCCAGCCTACCTCTCCTCAGTTGCCTTGGTTGGAGCCTCCAGACTCTTTTCCAGCTTTTGGGAAAGTGGAGTCATTCGCAAGACAGACCGAGAGTAGAAGCCCAGAGAGGACATGCCTGCTGGTGGGAGTTTATCCCAGAGGCCCCAGGTTCTGGGTCCAGAGGAGGAAAGCCTGTGTGAGGTAAGCAGGAATATCCCCAGGGAAAGTTCTCCAGAATGTGCAGATGCAGCAGTATATTTCTGGAGACAGCCTTGACCCTTCTACCAAGCAAGGACCACAAGGGGCTAATGTCTCACCATCCATCTTCATGGATCTCTGTTCTAGGAGAAACTGAACTGGCTAATGAAGGAGGATGTGTTGGAGTAGAAGGTTGGCTGTGGGCCACTGAAGAAGAAAGTGTAGTCACTGGTCTGGATGGGTGCTCCACTCACAGGCAGGGAAATGCTAACTCCTTTCTGCTCAACACTGGCTGTGTTGCTTCATCCACCATTGGGTCTTTGCAGAGTCTCACCTGGTCCCCAACAGGCTCCTCCTCACCTGGTCTATGGGCATTTCTCCTCTGTTCTCCTAAGGTGCAGAAAATCTTCTTCCTTTGTAGTTTATGTGGTCATAGGGAAGTAGAGTGAGAACAGGTTTTTAAGAGTCATCTTGTTTTCCTGTTTTAAAAGATGAATGAATATGCTGAAAAAGAGTGTTTCTAGATTGTCCATGATATAAATAATCAGGATTTGGTAACAATAAATCATAATTCTTGGGTAAGATAAAAATTTCCTAAAATCCTTTATTATTCTGTGTACTTCACAATAATATTTAATAATAATGAGTGACTATAATAATAAACTATTGTATGTTTTTATTTTGTTATTTTTAATCTTCACTAATTTGATGGAAAAAGATAGTATATGTCTTAATTTATATTACTTTGTTTCCAAACAGGATAAATTTTTTTTCATAATTTTGTTGATCAATTTATTTTCCTTAGTTACTTTTTCTTGTCTTCTGATTAATTAATTAATTTTTGAAACTGGGCTTGTGTTACCCAGGCTACAGTGCAGTGGCAAAATTGCAGCTTACTGAAGCCTCAAACTACTGGATTCAAGCCATCTTCCCATCTCAGTTTCCTGAGCAGCTAGGACTATAGACGCATGCCACAATGGCCACTAATATTTTTTCATTTTTTTCTAGAGACAGGGTCTTAAACTCCTGGCCTCAAGCTGCCCTCCTGTCTAAGCCTCCAGAGTAGCTGGGATTAAAGGTGGCTGCCATGATGCCCAGCTAATATTTCTATATTTTGTAGAGGTAGGAGTCTTGCTGTTGCTCCTTGCCTTAGTCCTCCCACTTAAGCCTCCCAGAGTGCTAGGATTACAGGTATGAGCCACCACATCTGGCCCAAACAAACTGCTTCTTTTTTTTTTTTTTGTGAGACAGGGTCTCACTTTGTCACCCTGGTTAGAGTGCTGTGGTGTAGTAGCTCACAGCAGCCTCAAGCTCTTGGACTCAAGTGATTCTCTTTCCTTCTGAGTAGCTGCCTAAGTAACTGGGACTACACGCACCCACCACAATGCCCAGCTATTTTTAGGGACAGGGTCTCGCTGTTGCTCAGGTTGGTCTCAAACTCCTGAGCTCTGGAAATCCTCCTGCCTTGGCCTCCCAGAGTGCTAGGATTACAAGTGTGAGCCACCACCTTGGGCCCCCAAACTGCTCGTCTTAATAATTATCAGCGTATGTATGCTGTGTATCCTGATTCATTAATAACTCCCATTGCTAGATTATTTGAAGGCAAGTCTCAGAAATTATATTAGTTCATCATTATTGTATATCTCTGAGAGTTTTTTTTTTTACATAGCCACAAATATCATTCATATATCCTCCAAATAATAATTATTTCTTAATATTGTTCATACCCAAAGTAACTGAACTTGATTTTTTATATCAGGATCCAGCCATTGTCAACATATCCCACTTAGTTCAGATGCATCTTTAGTTTTTCTTAATCTACAAATGGGTTTCTTCTACCTTTTATTCCCTTGCTATTTATTTCTTGAAGAAACTGGGTCATCCTTTAAATCAGGGGTTCTCAAACTTTTTAAACAGGGGGCCAGTTAATTGTCCCTCAGACCATTCAAGGGCTGGACTGCAGGCCTGGAGATGAGTCAGCTGCTAAGCAGGACAGGCAGTAGTGGCCAGAACACCCGGTGGGCTGGATGAATGTCCTAGGCGGGCTGCATGTGGCCCGCGGACCATAGTATGAGGACGCCTGCTTAAAATTGTGGCAAATTCTAAATTTTGGTCAGTTGCATTCACATGGTATCATTTTACACCATGGACAACTACCTTTTATTTCTGGCAAACTAGTATTTCAATCTAGACCATGCTATCTAATATGGTGGCCATTCACCACATATAACTAATGAGCACTTAAATGTGACTGGTTCACACTGGGATGTGCTTGAAGTGTAAACTTCCCATTGGCTTTTAAAGACTTAGCATGAACAAAGAATGTAAAACATCTTGATGATTTTTTAAATATTGGTAACATATAGAAATAATATTTTGAATATGATTGAATAAAATAATTACCAGTAGATTTCATGTTTGTTTTGTTCATTTGTTTGTTTTTGAGACAGTCTCACTCTGTTACCCTGGGGAGGTGCTGTCATAGCTCACAGCAACCTCAAATTCTTAGGCCCAAGGGATCTTCTTGCCTCAGCCTCCTGAGTAGCTAGGACTACAGGTGCTGTCACAACACCTGGCTAATTTTTCTATTTTTAGTGAGGGGTCTCACTCTTGCTCAGGTTGGTCTCAAACTCCTGAGCTCAAGCAGTGCACCTCCCTTGGTCTCCCAAAGTGCTAGGATTGCAGGCGTTAGCCACCTTGTTCCACCCTCATCTGTTTCTTTTTAATATGGGTTCTAGCCACATATGTGGCTCACCTTATATTTCCATTAAATGGCTCTACTCTGTAGACCTGGCCACTTCAATTTCTTTGTTTTTGGCAAGAATGCTTCATGGTTTGCATACCATCTATGTACTGTTTCACCTTATCAGGTGCATATAATGTCTGGTTCTCTCTTTTTTTTTTTTTTTTTTTTTT